CTCCTTCCGCGGGACCGGGAACCAACGGCGGCAGCGGCGTGGAATTCGGCCAGTCCTTCCTCGCCTCGCCTCGGCCGGAGCTCTTCACTGCACGGGCGCGGGCCAATGTTCGGAAGCTCAGACGCTCGGATCAGAATGAATGTTATCAGTCCGCGGGGTTCCTTTTTAAGGGCACCTTGCTTTCGAGGGACCCGTGTGGTGCACCGGTTGCACCAGCCTAGCTACGTCCCTAATCCTAAGGATGCATGACGGACACGAAAGAAAAGGTGTGATTTTGTAATATATGTAGTCTGCTTTGTTGCTTTATATCTGAAAATCGTTAATTAACAAGTTAATTTAATACTTTTTGGAATCAATGGGATCTTGATTGCACGTAAGAACCACCAGTCCATATTCGGCTATAGAGCCTCAATCGATCCCTTTACCTTCATTGATCCCTCGAAAATTTCATCGACCCCCCAGGGGGTCGAAACCAACCCTGTTGGGAACCCCTGATTGAACACGCCTGTCATGGACTGCGTTCATGCTAGTGATAGATTTATTAAAGTTCGCTTTGAGCTAATTCTCGGTGGCAAACATAACAATTAGAATTAGAATTACTAAACATATTCAACATTTACAATTCTGTTTACTATTAGAATTAGGGGTCGATATTATAGTTCCAATTTATTTCTAGCTAACTCTAAATTCACTTCTAGTTTACACAAGACTTCACTACACTACACTACACTGCACTCCCCTTCACTAAACTACACTCCCTTCCCCTCCACTACACTACACTACACTTCACATCACTGTATAAGGGACATGATAACAATTATAACAATAACAATATAAGAAATAATAACTTTAAAATTTCCCGAAAGCTAATGACATTAACAATGATGATAAATTTGTCAGTAATAATATAATAATAATAAAAGTAATAGTAATATTAATAATAATAAAAGTAATAATAATATTAATAACAATAAAGATAAATGTCTCAGTCAGTGTTATTCGAGATGATCTAGATGGAATGAAGCATATTTTTAAATTTGGCTACATTAGAAGGAAGAGCCTCTAGTGCTTCTGCAGGTAGTTTATTCCAATCTACTATAGTGCGATTCACAAAGGAGAACTTGCCTACATCAGTTCTTTGCTTTCTACATCGTATTTGATGATTGATTTGATATGATTTGAGGAAATCCAGCCTATCGACTTCCCAGTTGTTAGTTCAGATTGTAGTTTCGTATCAATTAACTATGAAAGAATCAGGTGGCGCTTTGCTGTAATAATAGCTGTAGAATCTTGCTATGCAATAATGTGCAGGAAGGTGAGAGTCAGAATTTGGAAGTTTCTTGTGCGTGTGTGTGTGAGCGCAACTATAGCGATATTAATTACAGATCTAATTTACAATACATTTCTATATCCAATAATCCAATAGCTGTAGTAGGGGATCCAATATTCAACTTACAGTTTTCAAAAATTCTGGGTTTTCAATGAAAATCAAATTAATGCTATTTGTATAACCGTTCGACACAACCTACACAACTCTGTTCGAGCAGAAAAAACAAAAAAAACACCCAGCTTTTTTGAGAAAATTTCGATGTTGTACTGTATCCCCCCCCCCAAAAAAAAACAAAACATTTCCATTACAACCTAATAAATGTGAGACCAATTTCCATCATTTTAACATGTACTTAATTTTGGTGATAAGTGTTTTTGGAATTTGGAAGATGATCTTATCCTTCAGGTAGTGACATTATTAAATCAGAATGACCAAATTTTCAGATGTGTTGTTGAAAATTAGCTATTGATATTTTATATTAGAAATGATGTAAATGATTATGTAGGCCTATAATGAGCTGTCTTTATTTATTTGAATTTGTATTTTACAAACTTATTTTAGACATTTGAAATAAAAAAGATTTAAATACTTGTGTATCTATTTTTGTATTTGTACTATTGTCATGATGTCTCAGGTTATTTAATGTTAAACAATATTATTTTTCAATAATTCCAACAATATTAATTTTCATTCAATAGGCATACTATTCCATTTTTTCAATAGACATTATCACCTACAGTTCAATTTTAATTCAACCTTAAAAAATATATAAAGTATTACAACACGTTTTTTTTTTAAATTATAGAGACCAAGGGCAGAGGTCAACAAAATGTTTAATGTGTTATTATCATTAAGTAGAGAAATGATTTTTTAGTTATCTAAGGTTAAAATCTCTATACATATTAATTCAAACCTTGAATGTCTCTACAGAGGGCAATTTTACTCTGTCTTGTACTACTTGAAGGATGGTGTACAATTAGTAAAATCAAGTTTAATAAGCAAAACTCCAAGTTCAGAAAAAATGGGAGATAGCAAAAAGAAGATATATTCACATGTTTAATAAAGTTGTTACTAGTTTTTGATATCTTGGTATTATCTTCAAAATTAACATTGGTTGCACACGGATTGCCACAGTGCCATTATTGCCACAGTGAACATTTATGGCTTGAAAAATCTACCCTTGTCAACAACCGCAAAGAAAGTTTACAATTTTAAAATAAAACCAATTTTACACTCTAGGTTAAAATCGATAAGAAATTGGACAGTGCAAAACTGGCATGAAATTGAGGAAGATAAGACTTTTTCTGAGGCGTATGTACCAACTTCCAATGAATTGCTCTGCAACTCTTTTCCATATAATGTGCAATGAAGTATTCTTTGTAGAAGTATCTCATTGGAATTTAACTTCAGTTCAAATGGGCTTACGATTGCTTACTTCAACTAGATTATAACTCTAAATTTTGTTTACAAAATTATGTGGATGGACTGACCTTCAAACTCTTAAAATTACTACAATAATATTATGACAAAACTTAAAATAACAATAATATTATGACAAGAACATCATGCCATGAATTTCATTTTCTTCTTTGCTGACAGAAGAACTACCATGACTTCAATGGATTGTGTACCTGCCACCAACATCACAAACATACTGCGATAGATTCACATTCTCATTGTCCAAAATGAAAAAAAAAAAAACATTAGCTACTCGATATGCAAGCTAGCTACATATGCAAAATTACTGGTCATAATTAATTAGACCTACCTATTTCTCAGGACAGCAAATAGTCTAATAATATATCTAATTATTAGATATGAGATTTTACAAATATTAAATTTAGAAAAAATAAGTCACTAAGAGTGGAGAATGTTCAATATTTTCAATATCTAGAACTAGAAGTAAACCATAATCAGTGTGGAAATTAAAGAACAATAAACAGAATAATTGGTAGGCAGATAGAGAAGCATGGGGTGGGAAATGAGGGAAATTTCTGTAATATGACACATTCAACTAAAATACTGAGGTTTCAATGTATTTGACCCCATTCAAAGGTTAAATTAAACCCTTGTTTCAAATGATGTTGAATTTTATATGTTTTATAAATACATATAGATCATGTACATTTTATGAATCTATATTTGAGTTTCATTCGGTTTCCTACCATTCATATAGTTAATAATTGGTCATTATTTTCACATCGCTTAGTACCTAGTTTGAAATAAAGTCAAAAACTATATTATTAGGGAGAGGATTTTTATGCCATAAAAAAATCTTGAAATATGCTTTTAAAAATATGCAGTTATGACCTAAAAATTCTGAAACATGCACTTAATGAACAAAACAAATTAGCAATAATACCTCTCCTATATATATAAACATCTTTTGATAAAATTCAGAAGCATGTTTAGAATGAAAAGATATATTTTTGTGCAAACATAATATAATCTACCTTATTTTGTGGGTGAAATAATTGAAGTAAATATTCGCTTTAGTGGCTGGATTAAAAAGTGTTATATCAAGAAATATCTAACATTTGCACAAGTATTTTGTCATCTATTGAAAAGAAAATTAATGCAAACTGAGACTAGCTCTTTTTAATTAATGAATGCTCACAAATAAATATATTCTATCAAAAATGAAACATTTTAGAGATGTCTTATTTTTAACAAAATATGCACCTATAATTACATGAATATGCACCAACACAAAAAAATCGATCAAATATGCACTAACAAATTAATCTACAAAGCATCCAATTCTAACCAAATGTCAAGAAATTTCACTTAGCAATGCACTGAAGCAATAGACACAAATGCAAAATCATAGAAATCCACTCCCTATTTATTATAGTAATTTGTTCAACAATCAAAACTAAGAAAAAAGTTATTTTCAAAACAGTATCATCGTAAATAACAAACTATAGTCTTATATTTTCTCTTTTTATATTAGTTGATGGATGTAAACCAAAAAATAGAATGAAATAAAAGAAAGAAAATTTAATACTGAACAAAATGCATCATTACCAGAGATATCTGGAACAAAGTTCTGAAACTTGGCTTATGAGAAATAAAAAGAAAAGAATCATTCAAGTTTATGGATTAGCAACAAGAAAATTTTGAAACATAGGTAGATCATTTTGGTATTTGATGTTTCACGAAGCAAACTGCAATGCAAAAGATAATCAAACAACCTTTCCACCATAGGAAGAGTATAATCGTAATTGGGATAGCAACGTTATATAACAAAATTATTAGTTTGTATCCAAACTTAAACTGCTGTTGACATATTAATGTTTTGTACGTATTTTTCCAAGTTTGTAATAAATTCTAATTAAATTTGTTATAATTGTCAAGTACAAAACGTCAAATTTCGTATGTATTAAAATAATAATTCACTCCCTTCGAAATTTAAACAACTCCCTGTCACGAAATATAAGTACATTTTTAGACATTACATTATACCTGGTAGCTTACACCACAAACAGTACTGCACACATAGTGCAACATGCAACTTTATATGAATCATATTAATTTGATTACAAGAAAATAACAATTTTTAAATTTGAGTTTTAGTAATAAATGAAAATAAATTTAGGTATTAATAATTTACAATAAATTCATTTCGAAATCGTAAACGGAAGTACATGAATCAATATCTTGCTTTCGTTTTTAAAGCTATTCACATGTTTTACGCGCGAAAACGAATTATTTTCGACGGTCAATCGATAATATTTAACCAATTTATGAAAAGCAAGATGTAGTGAATGCATAAATACCGGAAGGTACCAGTTTACAGATAACCCAAAGCGAGCAATGCGGTTAAAACGGGTTACAGCGGCCGGCAAGAGTTGTCAACCTTGGAGAAGGCGATACAGCGCCTAGCCGAACGTCAGTTGCCAAGAAAGGTTAGCTTGGCTATCGTAAGGTCATCATTTGGAATCAAAACATCATTCCTTCTACAGAACAGGAAAGATCCAGTTTACTACATTCAGTTCTATTCAGACTGTCTCTGTACATCATGCTGTCCACATTACGGCACATCGTGCGTCCAACAGAGTTACAGGCAAGTACTTATAGAAGTTGCTTTAAATACCTCGCGAATGTGTATCTAAACAAACTCTCACCACCACTTGTACAATACAGTATGTAAACATTAAAGGCATGGCTGGGTTAGAGGGACTGCGAGTGGTACCAGATGTATCCGCAAAGGCGCAAAATTTGAAAGTGCTATTTCTTTGCAATATATTTTGCACACTTTATTGTTCTTCAGAAGCCAGATTATATTGTTTGATGTGTTTAATAAGACACAATTATAACTACAGTACACTTTTCCTTTTTAGTACTGTAAAAATAATCTGAAATGATTAAAATACACGTTGGAAGGACATTTATTTGTCTATTATTATTATTATTATTATTATTATTATTATTATTATTATTATTATTATTATTATTATTTATTATGTATTCAGTGGGCCTGAAATATTTTAATGTTCACCGTTCATACATGGAAAATCATTTGTGTTAATTAAGTCGCGAGAAAAGTCAAGTTTCTGTGGTTTACATTCATTTGTTGTATTAAAAAATTTGTTTTTTCTACGGATGTTTGAGCGCCCGCATTTTCACTTGCATATTTAACTATGTCATTGTTAACAACTTTGCGTAATTAGTGATATCTTTTCAATTGTTTAATCGTTTGGACCTCATTAGATCACGAGAAGCATGTGCTTGCTTGACCCAGCCTCAATTAGTCCTAGCGCAACCTCATACACGGATAAAAACACTCGTAACTCTTCGACTTTCTGAGGTAATTACGGCGCTCCTACACATCTGTTATCCGGGTCGTCTTTTATCTTTTCGTCTAAATTATTTACATGGAGGAGGTGACTTTTAAGTATACAGTATTTCTAGCAGCCAGAGAGTGATGGGTAACGAGTTGGAATCCACGTGAGCGTGGGCATTTGTTCTGGGACTTTAATGTGTGAGTTAACCCAGGAACGTGTGTGTTAATAGCAAATTAATGGCCGTTTTTGTTTTAAATTTATTGTTTAAATTTATTGCGTCTGTTTAGCAACATGTCTCTTGGCCCTTTTTGGGCATTGACGGTATATACATCTGGAGTTAGTTCCGTTCTGTCGTTTGTCTTGTTACGTCGTAGTCAGTCAATGCATTTTATCCCTTCGACCAGGGGCTCGGCGCCGTTAGTAACCGGGGTTCCCAGACGGACACCCATCCGAGAATCCGTGCTGTCTCGAGATGCATAACTTCACGAAGCATAGTTATGCAATTCGACCGACGTTCGTCGGTAATACAAAGACTAACAAGCTACGAGAAAGGCGCTACCTAGCAAACATGTTTTATTCAACAATTTTAAATTTACATTTACCTGAAAATAGAATTTGTTTTTATCTCGTAAAGTTTTCGACAGTTTGGAGACTTTATTTTTATATCCTAAGGAGAACTTTGATGAATTCATATGAAATGTTAATTCTGTTAGCAAAAATATTCACAAAACGTGTGCACATGAGCCGTGTAAATGTCTTTCGCACGCTAGGTATGGTACGTCTGGGGAGACGTGGGAAGACGTTATTGTATGACATTTGAGTGCAATGCACGCTCTTCATTCAAAGGATTTTATAACAGTATCAAAGTTAACAGCAATCCAATTGCCCCGAAGTTGTTTCCAAGTGTGTATCTCTTTCACGCTTAGCGGAGTCTTTCAAATATAACACGTTTTTTCGTAGGTGAGTTGTATGTGGGGTCAAATGAATGTTCTTTACATTGCATTCTATCCCCTTTTATCCCATATTCTCATTTACTCGTTCTCCATTGTTTCGATCCATTTTATTTCTTCTCTCTTTGTTCTCTGCCTTCTTGTTGTCGCCGACACAATCCGCACTAGTTCTTTTCTCCATCTAAGCACATTTAGGCCCACTTTCTCCTTTTCTTTTCCGTCACTCATTTTCTTTTTCTTTATTTGTTTTATTTTATTGACTTGACGGGGGGATTTTGACCTGCTTGTGAAAAAAATTCACGTCTGTGATCCTACAAAACAGTTGTCTTCAATTTCCTTTTCACAGTACTCCTGTGCAGATAGGAATGTATCGTCACAAGTCGGATACATTAAGCTTTCTGGGTTTGAGGCACCTTTACTCTGCGTTACATAGGGATATGGGATATTAGTTTATTGTTACGTAACTTTTTTTCATTTTTCAACATTTTGCTGAAATAATTCCTTTTTAGTCTTATTCAAAAACATTAAAATATTAACTAATTAATTTGTTTTAAAAACAAATAGATTAAAGTTATTAGATTAAATTGTTAATTAAATAATTAATGGAAGTAGTTTCTCATCAATTTTTTATTCAATCTGCAAGACCACGAAGAAAATATTCAAAATTGATTTGTAGTATATTCTAGAATCCATTTAAATTGGCGCAGTTGACTCTGGCCCATGCGTTATCCATGACGGCGTATGCACGCTTGTGATCAAAAATGTTCTCACCTATGCCTCCTTCCTTGTCCCCTCGGACACTGCTCAGCGCTGGGCGACAAGACCTCTATCCACTGGTTGAAGATCTATTGAGCCCTGTATTAAAACATAGCCAAAGAGTAAATGCAGTAATAGAGCCAAGAGCGTGACATGATGCCAGGCCTGGGAAAGCACTAGACGCCGGAGAAAGCACTCGTGGGGTGTCCTTTGGTTCAAAAAGATTTCATATGCATCGATAGTGCTGCAATATCGTGAATATTTAACGTCATTAAAACGAAAATGTATATTCCAAACATATAAAATATTTTTCAATTATCTGGGGGCTGTGCAACCTAAGCACGAGTTGCCACTGACATCAAGTATTATAGTTATAGATATCTTGTTTGAAAATGTGTTCCCACCCTGGAGTAAGTCATTTTTGACAAAACACTGATTCGTAAATTAAGAGACTCAATGGTAGAATTTCCAACTTAATAATGAGAGGTTAATAAGAATCGTGTGGATGGGATTTGCTTATTATTCGTACAATTCTTTTTTGTAATATAAAATCCTGGGAGCTATAAGATGTATTTCCCCCAGAATATTATGCCATATCTCAGGCGGGAATGAACATTTGTCAAATATACACAAAGAGCGGTATCAACTGACTGAATTTGAAACAATTCTGAACGCGCAGCATGATTAACTTAATTTTTTTTCAATTCACTTAAATGGACATTCCTTTTAATACCGTTGACGGAATTGAGAGACCCAAAATTTTTGTTACATCAATCAATTTGCACATCATTTATATTCGACGTATTTTCGCCCCACAGCGTCATCGACAAATTACCCGGAAATTGATCTAAATCGAGGGAATACTTGCTTTTAAATTTATCGATTTTTTAAAGAGTTTTGAAGGACGAAATTCCCTACATAATGGTGTCAATTTTTAACATTATTATTATTATTATTATTATTATTATTATTATTATTATTATTATTATTATTATTATTATCATTATCATTATTACAGTTTTTACGTATAATGTTGACTTTCGTAACTTTAAAACCTTCGAGAGATCAACCGAATCCTCAAAATTTGGTTGTGTTATATTGGTTGTATAGAGTATAGACACGGATGTAGGGTGGTTCGCTTCTGTAACGTTATCTTTTGAAGACAATATCCTCTACAAAGTTTGTAATTGATGTGGTCGTACTTTTTACTATCTTCCACGCTGCTTTTGTTTTGTTATTTTTATTCAAAATATCTTGATCATGTTTCATGATTTTAGTCTGTCAAGACTTTTCTTAACAAATCTTCTGCTAGTAGAGGTGGGAATCATATAAAACTTTACAATGTTTAGAAATGAAATAAATAATTAATTTTGGTGTACGTGATGTTCTAATCCCTCGTGCTATCTAAATGTTTTTTTTCTTTTAGTGAAATATTTTTTTCTTTCTCGCTTTACTACGGACAGAGTAAAGAGAAAGTATTGTAATGATGCAGTCAATATCGGCGATATTTTGACAGAAAAACTCGTATTGTCGGGCTCTGGAAACGAAAAATTGGATAAATCTTGTTCCAATATGTAACAAATTACTTCCTCTAACATATTGGGTAGTCAGTATCCACGTTTTGTGGGTCCTTAATACTGAAAAATTGATTGACGGCAAAACGCCTGTCTGTGTATGACCACAGTCGGTAAATAGACTGTTGTATGGCTGTCTCCGGTTAGCGGCCGTCCGTCAGTGTGACCGTCTGCCCGTCTGCCCATCTGTCTGCGCGGTTGATTGATTAATGATTTCGGACGCGTCAACGGCTAAGGTCATCAGTGTCGTATGTGTAATGCATGTTTTATCGCGGGAAGTGGCGGTGATCTTCCCTCGATGGATGGCGAGATCCGGCGCCGATCTACGTCAGCTTGCAAGGATTTTCCCCCACCAGGTATCTACCATCAGAGTGGCACTGCCACAGTATTTGACGCGAATATTTTAATTTTTGGTGGTACTTTACGCGAAGCCTCAACATTTTCAAAATATATTAAAAAATGGGACCAAGTTTTTGGTTTATTTTTTACTAATAATTATAAAACAATATGGTTTTATATGTGGACATCTGTCCTTAACACATTATTAAATTTATTTGTGATATTCTATCAGTATTGAGCAGTGATAAACCAATTGTTTTCGTATTCACTTTTTACGGCATTTAAATGTGTAAGACTGTAACATACTTTTCCAGACTTTAAATATTAAGCTTCCACTTCCCTATTTGTTCCCTCCTGCTCCTCCTTCCCTCATTCCTCCCACTCACTCCTCACGATATCTGCGACAGGCGGCATTAGACCTCTAATCTTAACAGATGTTCTTCGCATAATGTCTTTTAACAAATGACAAAGACCAATGGCCGACGTGTAGTGTATTTTTAATATGGGATTTGGCATAATTGCTTCAGATGTCTGTTAAATATTGCACATAAATTAAAGGAAAGCAAAGGGATTCAGTAGTACCTCTCATGTATTGATTTGTTACCCAGTATTTTATGTGTAATATTGTTATATTCCTTACAGTTAACCTGAAGATGAGGTCAGGCGTGACCTCGAAAATTTGAATGAAATCTGAAAATGTCCAATATATCATCTACATTTTATGCGATGTCCCATACTTTGTCTAAAAACAAACAAATAGAAAATAATAAAATCTAATTTCAATATTAACATTTTCAAATTAAATATTGAAATTGCCTCGCCATATATACCCTTCCAAGCCGCGGCGCAGGTCTGGGCCTGGGACTCGCTGCCGACAGCCCGGGGTTCCAAGCCGACGCACATCTGTACTGGCTGGGCGGGTGGCAGCGGGGAGGGGGTGACATCTTGGGCCAGTGGTTCCGACGCGCCACGGCCCGGCAAGCGATCGACCGGGCAGCTGCGCTCTCCGCCCGCCCGCACGCCCGCCGCCGCCGCTGCCGCCCGCCCCGCCCGCCCGCCCGCCTGCCGCCCGCCCCCGCGCCGCCCGCGGTGGCCACTGCTCGTGCTCGACAAAGCTACGCTCGCCAGTTATCTGAGCAATGGAACTTGCAATGCCTGAAGGTTTAAATCTCGTACCTTTCAAAGTCAGGGATCTCATTTGGAATCCTGGTTATTCCCTATGCATATAGGCATGCGCAAAACACGAAGGGAGTGGCATCTACGTTTCTAAGCCTCCCTTTTCCTTCGAAATTTATTTAGATATGACTTTTACTAGTAAACGAATAAAACACTGTAAGGACATTCGTTTGAAATTATAACTTTAATGATAAATGTATTAAAATCATTTGATTTCCTGTTGGGGAGACCTTTTACATGATCGCCAGTTTGTCCATTTTCAAAAGAAATTCCATTATTTTTTAAACAGAATTTACGATTTAAATCAACTATTTTTTTATTATTCACTTATTTAAATAACAATTTAAATTAATGTTTTTTAAAATACTTTAAAATATAGATTATATGCCTAATGATGTAGATAAATTAAGCAACATGATACAGTACGAACGGCATCTAGTAAGCAGGCAGTGAAAGAGCGTAGAGAGCCCAATTGAGCCCGCTACTTTCCTGCTCCATTTATTATGTGAAAACTTGAGTATAAATATAAATTTTACAATCTTTATCGGAATCCCTTCTGTTCGTCTCTATCAATTACCCCAATGACCCGTATGAATGCGGTAGGGGTTGGCCCTTTAGAATACCTGCGTATCCAAATATATCCCATGTCCTGGGTACCCGCATAACCAAACCCGTAAGACTCCGAAGACCTCTAGTGCACGCTCGGGCAATCGCATGCTTCGGAACTCGAGGTTCGGATTACCGCGGTTATACTGTATACTTATTTTATTTAAAAAGGAAGGAATACAATAAAAGTGCGAACGACAGGGAACAACTACCCTAAAGAGGTAGAAACGAGATCCCTGCTCCCGTCGCAGATGTGAACGATTCCCGTATAGGATGCTGCGCGCACGTACGTGCGTTTTCGTGGAACACAGTGCCCTCAGTTTACATCACACAAGCTATTGGCACACAAGTACTGTGATAAAGATCTGACTCATTAAATTTGAATCCTTCACGGAACGTGGCAGCCAGTGGCAATAACCGCAAACGGGTCAAAGTTTTACTTGGTGATCCCTTCACGGGTTCCCTAAAATCGCTTCGCAGACCTCCAGAGTCCCTCAGTTTGAGATTCTATTAGTGATAATAAAGGAAGTTTTGAAATGAAATGAAAGAAAACTTACCAATCAACTAACCTAGTGGTGCTACGACAGCACATAGTTTTTCGCGTTATTCCTAAATTTGCTGTTTTCGAAAATTCAGAGTGTTCCACGAAAATTAGGCCTGTTCCTTGTTATATCCACGGAAAAATATTGAAGACAAAATTAGGAACGGTTTTTGAGAAAATGCTTTTTTTTTATAACTTCATTAATTTCGAGCAGAAATTGCTTGAAAACTACTAGTTTTTCGAAAAATTGTACTTGATCTTTTTAGAACGTGTTTAGTTTAAGGCAATAATCTCTCATCTTCAATTTTGTAATTTTGAACTTTTCGCAATTTTCGAGTTCTCGGGAAATTACGCCAGCACCACTTTTTCACTGTCTTTTGGTAGATTCTAGGAGAAAATTCAAAGAAAACGTTTAGAGCCGTTTTTGAGACAATCATTGTTTAAAAGGTGCTTATATTTCATGCAAAAATTGAGCGAAAATACTAAATTTTCTAAAAATTGCCTATGACATTTTAAAATCTGCCTCCCAACAGATTTCATTTAGGAACTTGTATAAATTTAAAACTTTTCTAAATTTAGAAAAATCAGAGATTTCCACGAAAATGAAATCTCTCTATCATTCTTTTAAGCATTCTTTATGCTATCAGAGTCCAAAGTTTAATCCAAAAAATGTTGACCCTTTTTAAGAAAATTTTGAAAATGTTTTTGAAACTTCATGTAAGGTACTTCCAAAAATCAAAATACCCGTTTCAAACGCAGAGCACTCCTAGCAATCATGGACACTCTTATCTGACCTCTAAAGATTAAATATAGTGGGTTCTGAAGAGGTTGAACTGGAGGGTTTCGAAATGTATCATATGCCTCTGACTTGAGAATTGGGACATTAATAGTCACGGCAGAAAGTATTAATAACATTAAAAATTGAGCAACATGCAGTTCCAGCCTATTTGAAGGTAATCAACTTGAGAAATAGGAGCAGAATGGTTTAAAAAATTATTGATCTTGATAATAATTAAGAAAGCTACATGGAACAGCTTCTAATAGCTAAAACTCTTTATTCTACTATTACTGACAATAGTGCTATTGGTTCTGGTCGCAACTGGGTTTGTGCATTTGAATCCTTAAGGCATGAAAGTTCTTTCATTATAATTATGAAATGTTAGGCATAGGCAAACCACCAACCATCCCATGTAATCAATTCAACCACTGTGCTTTTCATATTGTGTAGGAAATTCAAGTATCAGTTCTGATCTTGATCACAAATATCCTATAAGAACTAGAAAAATGGCACCAGAAAAATGTATTACTGTTATTTAGGTTAGCTTCCAGTTGCCAGTAGCTACATGACCTCTGTGTTTGTACAATATGTTTACAGTATTATGAATATCTTCAATGAAATTCTTAATCTGGAATAACAATTAAGTCAACTCGAAACATGAACAACTTAAACTTCTATTCAAACATCAAGGAACAACAAATAAACCATGGTGGTTTACAAATTTTGGACTCTTCATTCCATGTTGAGTAGGTGTTTGCATTGCTTTGGATGCTTAATGTAGTTAGATTATTTTAGAAGATAAAATCATGAGGAAAGTGTAATTAATAAGTATTAAGGAAATGTTTACAATTTGCAGTTGCAAGAATTCAGTCTATTTGAGAATGTAGTACAAATACGAGTAGGTGTACTTTTTATTAAATGCTTTAAATACAGGGATATATGTAATGTGGAAGTATTATTCATTTATACTGAATAATGCATTGTTATTTAATGCATGTTCTTGTTACTATGAAAGTACGTGGAGTTGCATTGGGTGTGGAGACATTATAGTACTTTATTATTGTGCTGCTTTTGTATTAAAAAGGCATGTTTAATGTTTCTAGAGGAGGCATGCCCTACGTCTTGCAAGCTTGTGGACTGGGAATGAACCAATTCAGCAAGATGATCCTGAGATGTTTGACCTGATCCAGCAAGAAAAGCAGCGCCAATGTAGTGGATTGGAACTCATTGCATCAGAGGTAATATATTATTGTTTTAAATTTGAGTGAATGGTGAAATGCATTTGTTTATTTTATTCATAATGTTAGACACTTCTTAATGGTCTATAATAAGCTGCTATGGTACTTCTTTATCTACTCTGTTATATGTGCTCCTCCCAGTGATTGACATCTAACCTTCTGCCACTACTCTTTCAAAAAATGTATAATAAGGCTCAAAGAATGTGCTGTCATGAAGGGCTTTCAGCAGTTGCAGATCTAAATGCTAGCTTGTTGTTTCCTTACCTCTCTTCAATTGTCTGTTGTAGTTTATTTTTGAAAGGAAGGCATGATTTTTTAGTACTTGTTTCCAACTTAAATAAGTTATTAATAACACTGTTGTTCAATGTACTATAATGTAATGTATCAGAAGACTCATACAGAGTCAAACTCATACATCAAGGAGAGGAAAGAAAATGATGCCTTAGCAAAATTTTGTTTTCACTAACAATACCTTTCAAATTGTTACTTCTCCATTCTGGTATTCTATGTAGTACAATTTTTTTAACTGTATTGATATCAAATTATTCATTTATTTCACTCCTGTCTATTTCACTTCATTTGGCACATTCATTTCATTGCTAAATTCCAAATCATCTATAAGAAAATAGGGCATTTTGCTGATCCAGATGCATGCGTCTTAGATTCGTTCTTCATTTTATACATAATAATTCTATACAATAAATGTTGACTGATTCTCTCAATTCTCAATATTACCTCCCCTTGCCCACTACCAAACCTTGAACACTAGGTATGTAAAGTATATTGTGTTTTTTTGAATTGAATGTATTAAATCCAATGGAATAAATAATCAAGTATTATTCATATTATGATAATGATACTTCATCTGCTTGTGAAAGTTACCTCACTAGCTCCTATTGTTGCTGATGAGGACATACACTCCTTTTGTAGATAACATATCTCATTATCATGTAGAATAATAAATTACTATTGCTCAGTTCATTGCTATGAGATTGCATTTTTCAAGAAACTATTTCAAGAATCTTTTTCAATGTGTACATGAAATTAACATATAAAAATTATCTTCATTTTATCTGCGCAGCCGACTTATTTACACCAGTATATAACTGTAATTGAACATTTATGGAGAAACGTGAATGTATTGTAATGATTATTTATCAATCAAACATTGAGAAAAATGTTCTGATATATGGACCTTCTGTAAAGTAATCACAATGTTCAAAGTGTATTAACAAACATCCAAATTTATTGAGTAGTGATCATAACCCCAGATCTTATGAGCATGTGAACAGTTTGTCCAGAAAATTCAATTGAAATTGAAATTCCTATAATCAGAAAAACAAATAAAGTAACATTGTAGGTTGTGTATTAGACAAAATGGTATTGTTAACTAAAATATTGTTTACAAAGGATAACCATCCCTAATTTAGCATAAATTTAAGACTTTGTAGCTGCAGATTCTATATATATAAACTAAAGGAAGACTAAGAAAATATCTAATGTATTTTCACGGAATTTTACATATTTCAGAATTTTTGCAGTCGTGCAGCTCTGGAAGCTCTGGGATCATGTTTAAATAATAAATATAGTGAAGGGTATCCTGGCCAGAGGTAAGCAAAACATTCTTTACATTATTGTATTAGGAAAATATTTTATCACGATTGGAAGCATTACTTTAATGTATTATATCAGGGTGAATTTGCTTTGTGTTATTAAATCTGAATATTCAAAATAAAAATATACAGACAAATGAAAAATGAATCACAAAAATTACTTGCATGTTAGAACTGGTATAGAGTTACTTTTGTTCACAGTTTAAGACTATGCTAAATTTCTAATTGATAAACGTACTAAAATGTAATGTGCAGAAAGATAAGGCATTACGAGGAATTGTAGATAATTTATTTATCTAAATTCTAAGTCAATATTATATTAAAAGAAATGAGTCACTTGATAATATGTGTTTGGCTAGGTAGCTTGTGTGCCAAATCATAGGCTTGGAATTCTTGATTATTGGTATCATGACAGCTAGTGTTAGCTAGTGGAAAGCTATCTGAATTTAATAATAGTGAAAGAAATTGAGATGAAGTGATGAGGCCTGATCTCCTGCACACGTACCACTCATCACTCATCTAAAATCAGTGTTGGGTAACTGAGGGTATAAAGGATAAAAAAAAAGATTAGAATCATGTAATAATATAAAATGTTGATAAAAGATTATTGATTTCTTAATACCCAATGAAACAAGGAGGTGAAATTTTGTTATTGTATTTGTTTAGATACTATGGTGGAACTGATATTATTGATAAAGTAGAATTGCTGTGTCAAAAACGTGCATTGGAAGCCTTCCATCTAAGTCCTGAATTATGGGGCGTAAATGTTCAACCTCTTTCCGGTTCTCCAGCAAACTTCGCAGCTTACACTGCTCTCATGCGCCCTCATGATCGTATCATGGGGCTGGATCTTCCCCATGGTGGACAGTGAGTATTAAGTCCATGTATTAATACTTTAACACAGTGCCTAGGTTGGGTATGTTAGCATTTTGTAGCGCGAGTGATGGAAAGGGGCTTTGTGTCACCTCATTAGCAGGAAAGAGCACTGCTATTGATGGCATTCTGCGTCAAATAATTGAACACACATCATACCTTGCAACTTGAACATTATTCTTGTAGAAACACCAGAGAACTTGTTGACCACAGGGGTAGGAGCAAAAAAATAATGATAAAAAAATTGCAAACAGAGCCACTAATCAATGGATGATGGAAGAATGTTGAATTTGAGGTCAGTAATTTTTATCAAGGATGTAGCAAGGTTGGTGCAATTGATGCATTGCACTGGGGCCACCCAAAGTCAAGGCTCCCACAAAAGGATCCCTTCCAACACCAAATAAAGGTGCGGTTCCTGTTCAACAATATGTTGAAGGTATCTCATGGTAAAAAAATTCTCTAACATGACTGGTTTTCAGCAATTTCAATTAAGGTTATTCCTTATTACTGGTGGAATTGAATGTGGAAAGTTGTTACAAGAAACAACAGCAATAACAATAACAAAGAATGTACTGGAAGGCAAGGGGCTATTGGCAGGTGCTATTAACTGCGCATCCACTGCTTCGTCTGTATATTTAAGTCCAGAAATCAACTATGCAGGATTTTCACCAAAATTGATATTTCCCAATGGGGTGATATTTCCCTGGTGAAGTTGCGGTCACTTGAATTTGAAATCGATGTTTTAATTTTGGGGAGTATTTTACATGAAGCGCCTGGGACCAATGAGGTAACAGAATAAAATATGCAAAACTGCCCTATAATCATTTTAATATTGAAATGGTAATTGAAGTTTAAAAAAAAATTGTTTTCATTGGATTTAAATCAATTTATCTGGAATACTTTGTATAAATGAAAAAATTGTTTTTAGCTTCTTATATGTTTAATTTTTTTAACCACAATGAATATTGAAATTAAATACCCTTGCAATTTCTAATAGATGATAAAATGTTTCAAGAATTTTTTCCAGAAGTTTATATCCAATTTTCACCCTTACATTCAACAAAAAAGAAGGGAAAAATAGAAAGAAAAAAAACTTTATTCATTTGTTTTTTAAGTGTCTGAAAAAAAACTTGAAACATCTTTACCATTACAGAAAATCACAAGGATAATCAACATTCATAGGTGCAACGTGATTAAAAACTTGTATAAGAAGCTAAAAAACAGATTTTTTTCATTTGAATGAAATATTCCTGGTTAATTGTTTAAATCCAGTGAAAAAGGTTTAACACGTCAATTACGATTTTCAACAAAAAATGTTTATCCTCGGGGCAGTTTTGCATATCTTAATCTGCTACCCCTTTTTTAATTAAATTTTGTTGTTGGATAGTCTGAAGGGCATTTAAAAGTGCTAGTCTCATTTTCATCCCTGATTTTTTTGGTGTCTTCTTAAACTAAAATATTGTTGGTCAAATTGATGTTCTTTAAAGCAGATTTTAAAGAACAAAACATTTTTTTCCCAAAAATGACAACAAATTTTCTTATTAAATCTTGATCCTCGAATAAAGGACAGTAAAGAGAATGGTGCATATCTAATTTTTATTGAAATCCTTGATTATTATAAATATTATTAGCATTAATTTAGACTAGAAATTTTATTTAAGGTTAAAATATGCCTCGGGCATTGTTTGGACATTTATGTAGAACACGAATGCACTGAATTCAATGGCAGAAAGATGTTCTCATTTAAATGTTTCAAATAAAAAATAGTATATGTATTTTTTGTGATTCATTTATGTAAGAATTTTTCAAATGGTAGCTGAAGTGTAAGACAGAAATTGTCACATAAAACATATTACATATTACATAAAATATTACATAAAATCTGAATGTTTGGCAAAATGCCTTTTTTGTTATTGTTTTATAAAATATGACTTTTAGCAATAAGAATCACTTAATTGTACTTCTAGAGTTGTTTTAGTAGATCTTTATTCTGTCATTTCTTGCAAGTTTTAGCCATTTGGTCTTATTTCTCTGCCTTTCTCCGTCTTTTACATCAATATTTTTTTTTCTCCTGACACCAATCTCGATCATGCTGATTATACACCTGCAAATATGGACAGCACAAAGGCATGGTCATGTTTTGTCTTTCTGTGGAAGAAGAGGCTGTGTTAAAAATATAAATGAAAAAGGAAAATGATAACAGTCAAGATATTTAATTTTTTTCATTGATGTTGACTGGCTTTGTTCTATCACGAGGAATCCCATCCTACATTTGAGTATAGTCTCCACTCCCTCTAGAAATTCTCTGTGTATTATATACTCTTCTCAGTGCTGGTGATGACACAAATGAGAAGAATGAAGAATATAGTTCCAAAAAATCACATTTAAAAGGAATTATTGTAAAAAAAAGAGAGAAAGAGGGAGAAAGAGAGAAAGAGGGAGACAGAGAGAGATAGAGAAAGAGAGACAGGGAGAGGGAAATAGAGACACAGAGAGAGAGAGAGAGAAATAGAGACAGAGAGATAGAGAAAGAGAGACAGGGAGAGGGAAATAGAGGCAGGGAGAGAGAAATAGAGACTCAGAGAGAGAAATAGAGACTCAGAGAGAGAAATAGAGACTCAGAGAGAGAAATAGAGACTCAGAGAGAGAGAAATAGAGACTCAGAGAGAGAAATAGAGACTCAGAGAGAAATAGAGACAGAGAGAGAGAGAAATAGAGACAGAGAGAGAGAGAAATAGAGACAGAGAGAGAGAGAGAAATAGAGACAGAGAGAGAGAAATAGAGACAGAGAGAGAGAAATTGTAGTAAAAAAAGTGGTGTAGGTCCCATTTTCAGTGAACCTTGTATTTTTAAAAATTGCAAAATTGCAAATTAAATTTTTTCCATGAGTACTGGATTAAAAGTGGCACAAGTCTGATTTTCTTTGAACTCTCTTAATTCTTAGAAATTGCAAAAGTTACAAATAATATGAGAAAGACTGTGATGTTATAGAACTTGTAGTTCCTTAATGAAATCTATTCTTTAAAACTTATTTTTGAAATAATGTCAATGAAAATATTTGAATTTTCAAAAATTTGAAATGCAAATGTCCAACTTCTTTTTGAAGCATCTTAAGTGGAGAACTTTGTTTTATCTCCGAGTCTGGGGTGTATGGGTAATGTCAAAGTATGCTAAACTTGAGAACCTGAGTTTGAGAGCCAGTGTGGAAAAAAATTGTTTTTTGCTTGTTGGAAACACTTTTGCTGCTTAAAGAAGTAATATAGTATTGTAAAGACATTAAAAATAATGGAAGTTTGTGTTTGTAGCGCCACTAGTTTTGAAGTTTTTATATAATAGGTTTTGCCTCTCTGTGCAGTGCTGTTTTATATGTTATCTTCTTTTTTATTAGATGATGAAGTATCTGGGAGATACTAAAGCTAAATAAAATGCTAAATAAAGTGATGTAAGTGAGTGTGATTAGAGAGTTTTGTCACTTTCAGAAATTGATTTCAGATGTTGGAATTTTCTACTCTAAAATAATTTTCTGCAATTCTATTATTTTTATTGTGTTCATGTAATTTTTTGATCACTCTAAAAATCACATTTGATTTCAATAATTAAAAAGGATCACCTTCATTGGTATGTTATGATTAGGGTCTGGATGTTTATGACGTCATATTTTTTTCTTTGTGTTATTTCCATGAAAAATATAAGTTAAGCATGATTTAATCTACAATGAATAAAATTATGCAATTTTCTCGAGTCATATACAGTCATATTTTGGCTTCTTTAACCCTTTTGTCATTTTCTGTTAATTTTTCATATTATGGTCATATTTTCCCTCTCAGTCATCACAAAGGGATTTTTCACATCTAATTGTTATTTAATTTCTTACAATTATTGTGTCTAATTGTTGTCTGTCTTTCCTTTAAATATATATGTAAGTGAATTAAGAGGGTACGCTATATAGAAGGAGAAAAAGAAAGTGTAGAAAGCACCAGATACAACGGAAGTGTTAGTTTAGTTTTGTCAGATTTTATGCCAACCAACTGCTTCGATAATAACTTTAGTAGGTAGGATTGTCTTCATGGGGCATATGTATATATATAATATATAACGTATGTTTTGTATGTATATATATAATATATAATGTATGTTTTGTATAATGTATTTATACAAAAAGGTGAAACAAAGTTTTTTAAAAAAGAAAGAAACAAAAAATCGAAACAGGTTGTGAGGCAATATTGCTTGACAGAGACTCATGCATTAAAAACAAACATAAGCTTATCCGATGCTGTATGAGAGTGATTTTATTGTTTTTCATTTTCATCTTCTTAGGACATAAATAACCCTCGCTACAGTTACATGCCGTCTAAGATAACTGTATAATATACATTGGTAGAATGGTTGCCTGGGATTTACGGCATTCAAGATCATGGTTCGTGTAATGCTCAACTGAAGAGTATTTCCTGAAAGTAAACGTGGCTAAGTAAGCTGAATTGTAATTTGAGACAATCTTTAACGATAAAAGCTCTGAAACTGCTTGCAATAATGTTCCAAGTTTTTAATAGAATTGTCTCTCCTTGAGGTAACGATGAAACTCATTTGTAAATAGCCAAGATAATAACAAAAATCTGAAAATGAGTTTATTGACAGACAAATAGGCAGTGTAAATAAAATGTAATGTAGTAAAGTCCTGGAGAGTGTTTATCATTAATTTCATGTGTCTCCGTCAAAATATTAAATTAGGCATTTGTCTCAAATTCCGATGTCCATTTTTGATTACATTTACATTGTTGATGTTGTAATGGGTAGGTATGTTAAAACAAGGATTTATCACAATTAATATTTTAAGAAAACATTAAGATGAATTATGAAGTGTAATTGTTTTGATATGATGAAATTCAGCATTAATCTTTCCTATTATTGATAAGGACTTTATTCATATTATTTCTTTTCTTTGCAGTTTAACACATGGTTTTATGACTGATACAAAAAGGGTATCAGCAACCTCTGTTTACTTTGAATCAATGCCATATCGGCTTGATACGCAAACAGGTCTCATTGATTATGATCGTTTACATCAAAATGCTCAATTATTTAGACCCAAGGTTATAATTGCTGGTACATCAGCATACTCACGTCTGTTGGATTACAAACGCTTCAGAGAGGTAAATAACTTGGTAAATTCTTTTTTTATATTTGTGTATTTATTATTTATCATAATTATTCATATCATAGATCTGCGATGATGTTGGAGCAATGCTTTTGTCCGACATGGCCCATATTTCTGGTCTGGTTGCTGCACAAGTCATTCCAAGCCCCTTTGAACATTCTGATGTTGTTACAACAACCACTCATAAAACACTGAGAGGAGCTAGGTGAGTGTTATAAAAATCTTATGATTTGATCAAGTTATAATAATGTCTCTATTAAATATGTTTGATCTAGTATTTATAACAAAGCTGCTTCTGCTGAATACTTTCTTTTGATTCAAAGACTGAAATGTCACTTGGTATGAATCCTTACAATATTCAAAGTAACATAAAGTCCTACTTTATAATCAGAGTTTTTCAAAACCTCCATTGAAGAAATTCAGGTTCTATGATTGTGTTTATAATGCATTTGAACCCTTGGAAATTATACATGGTAGTATTACATTTAATGCTAGATATCAATTCTGTCTCAAAAAAACTTACTGCTTACTAGTTGTAGACATTTATGAGTTCTTTCTTGCTATTGGAATATATTTTGAATAATAACATTACATACTTATTCCTTCCTTGCAATTCACTGCTATCTCTATGCCTCCCTCTCTCTTATCTTCTCTCTACCTCACTCCCCTCCTTCCCTTCTTCATTTCGTGAATTCTACTTTTTAAACTTAGAAGAGTACTTGTAATTGGGGAATTCTTTGTCAACAAAAGAAAAGTGGAACAAAAGATGTATCCTTATGAAATATTTTAGAAAATATAAGGTGCTCTCGCAGATAGTTTTTCATGTTAAAGATCTTTCAATATCTATTGAAAAATTAGAAATAAAGATATTATTAACATCCTAAGCCTTTCCTTTCACTGGAAACAACTATTTGATTGGGCATAACATACAACATTTAATTGATGTTGATGGAACTTGGTCCAAAAATAAATATTTCATTTACTTCTTGTACTTTGGATGCACAGAAACAAATCACTGACTATTTGAAATCACAGATATATATTTTAAGTAATTTGGGGGTGGTTACAGGAAAATAGCCAAATCGGCAGTTAAAATCATGTGAGTCAAGAACCCCTACATCATAGTTCACCCCCTATATCACAGTTTTCAGCTTTCCTTTCCAGCAATCTACTTGCCAATTTGCAACTGAGTTAATTTTGTTGTTGTTGTTGATATTTCGTAGGACCTTTTTTTATGTTGATAAACAGGTCTAATTCATTTCCCTATATTGCTTTCTTTGAATAGAGGCCAGTGCACTTAAAATATCGCCTATGAATAATTTATGTTACTCTTAGAAAACAATCTAAATGGAAATACATTAGAAATATATAATCACTCTGCAGAGAGATAGTTCAGATCCTCAGTGTTCCAAATAAACATTGGGAAGAGTAAACTGTTTCAGTAAACTGTTGAAGGAAGACAGGTCAGAATCTAGGCTTAATATTGACATCATAAGTCCAAGGGATTTTTCCATAAATATAACAATTGAAGAAGCAGAGAGGAGCATTAAAGAACTAAAAGTGGAAAAGCCTCAGGACCTGGAAATATCCCAGGCGAGCTACTAAAAATTGGAACATCAAAACTAATGCGAATAATACAATTATTAATGGAGAAGTGCATAAATATCAGAGATGTACCAAATGAGTGGAAAGTGATACACATCTCACTTGTCCACAAGAAAGGAAGGAAGGGCATCTGCAGGAATTACAGGAGGATAGTTAAGGCAAGGATGTTGCATTTCACCGGCACTATTCAAAATCTATATGAATGAGGTCCTGCAAAAATGGTAAAGGAATTGTGCGGGAATGGGAATACCAGTGGAAATGTACTCTACTCTCTACACTTGACAGTTTCGCTAATGATCAGGTAATCGCAGCACATGACCAAGATGGTATAGAATTTATGTTGATAAGGATTAGAGATGAATATGCAAAGTGGGGACTGACACTCAACTTACTACTGGGCTATTTAGTACTAGCAACAGTGTACTGGGCATTAAATAGTAATAATGAATACATAACTATTGCCAAATGAAACAAAATTAAGAAAACTGAAGAAATAAAATATATGTAGGAGTAAAATTGGAAAGCAGGGACTTTATAAGACAGAGGTTTTGGAACAAATTAAACAAGGCAGAAAACTTATTGGTTCCCTGAATTCTATCCTATGGGGCAAGAATATTAGTAAAAGAACAAAACTAATGATATAGAGCAATAATTGAAAGTTTTGTACTGTCTGGTCCTGAGATATGGCAACTCTCAGAACAAATGAGAACAAAGTTGACGGTCATGGGAATGGACTTTCTTAGAAGATCTTCTGACATCTCAAGAATAGAAAATACAAATTGAAAGAATTAAAGAGATTGCTTTTTCTTATGATATCGAAGGCTTCTGCAACTTGAGTTAGTAACTGCTTGGTTGTCTGGTAGATGCTCTGTCCTAGGAACAGATGCCAACGTTTCGGACGCCATTCTGAGACCTTCCTCAGGGCAAAATGCATTTCACTTTGAGAAAGGTTGCAGAATGGCTGTGGAAATGCATTTTGCCTTTAGGAATGTTGAGAATGGTGGGTGAATTGTTGGCACCTGTGCCTAGGACATGGCGTCTCCTGGACAGCCCAGCAATTAATCAATACATACATGTATTGTTTAATACATCAGTGTACATGCTTCTTATAAATGAAAGAATTTGTGCATTGGGGGTCACTGAATCCCAATTCTTTTGTTTCAATTTCATATTTAGTAGTGGGTTTGTTAATTACGATTTTGTCGATTGCCAGTTTTGAAATAAGTGATCCATGTAGGTACATTTATTGTCACATCTAAATTGAAAGAATTAATTAAATTAAAAAACTGCTTTTGTTCGCAAGATTTGGTCAGTATTAAAATTTCCACCTACAACATTGGATTCAAAAGAGTGACTGACTTTTTTTAGACTTGTATATCTAGATTTTCAAGGATCATGGCTTGCTTTGTTGGGAACATGTAGATGCAAAGAATTATAATTCTGATTGGAAGATATACGATACATATTTCAAAAACATTTTTATCTTAGTACATATTTAATCCCATCAAAAAGGGAAAATCTGTATTATATCTACAAATTTTTTATTTACAAACTTTTTGTAAGAATAGTACACAATGTACTGAATCATTTGAGAAAAATACTACTTTAATTCAGACTTTAACATTTAAAAAAAATAATAATTTGTCTTTTTTTTTTTTTTTTTTTTTTTGAACTTCAAGTGCTTCATTAATAATATGTGATGGTATTGATTTCATGATATTATTTCATGGAATTATGATTATTGTGTTAATGATTATTTTCAGGGTATTATTTTATTGATGTATTTCATTTTTATTTGCAATTTTAGACGCAAACACTTTAAATAGTTTCTGATGACGTTTCTCAAAATATCATAATTTTAAAGGATAAGTTAGCCAAAAATTGCCCATTTTCAAAAATGCTTTAGCAACATTTTCTCTGAAATTTTCCCAAGTTTTTCTCAGAGATGTTTATGTTAATTCTCATTTTGATTTTTAATATCAGGGGCCCCAAAAATTGAGAGAATGTGAAAACATTTTTTTCTTCTCAAAAGCAGGATTTAAAATATATGTGATTACAGTAAAGGAAAGGAAATCAGTAAGTTCATGGAAATAGTCTCTAAATTTTGTATTCTTCAACATTTTATGCACAGTTCATGAATTTAAAAATATTTATGGGTACAGAAGCGGATTATTTAAAGTTTTAGAAAATTGTTGCTATGGAAACAAATTCTGTTGAAAATTATTCAGTTCAATAGATTAAAGTTCAATTATTTATATATATATAAATATATAAATATACGAGATATTTTTTTCTTGTGTAGTGGGTCTTAAAAAACGTACAATTATTGTGGGCAATGTTACAAACCATTTGGTAAAGAGAATTTTGCAACAGATTTCTGAAATATTCATAGTAAATTATAATTATAATTAAATATCATTATAATTTAATATAACCATGACAAATAGTAGTATGAGGATGTCTGTGACATTTTGTAGCACCACTAGTTTCAAATTTGTTGAGGTATAGTTTCATTCTTCTTTTTTGATTGAAGAATATGTACTTCCTTCTTCAAAACTTTGACTTCTGCAGCATTTAGCATATCCTTTCCATCCTTATTGCAGTTCTCTGAAGCTATATTCACTTTTAAGATCTGCTCTTTTAATCAGTCTTCCTTTGTAATCTTCATCTTATTTATCGTGTTATGAATGAGTTTCTTTATAGAGCTGTCAGTCTATATCATATTGACAATTGAACTTAGTGGAGTGCAACAACAAATTGCTTATTGTCTAAGTATATTTATTCATAAACAAAATTATTTTTACACGTTATATTTCATTTAATATCTTCAGTTTATGCCAAAAGATATGGTAATAATTATATGGTTGTTATCTAATCCATCTCTTTATACTTTAAAATTGTTTATTTACTAGGAAATGTTTCTTTGTTTTGGAATAACTATGCCTACCAATTAACTAATACATTTTTGAGATATTGAAAAGAAGATATGGTTGTTGTAACTTATGTTTTGGATTATTTACAAATTATTTTTCTTCCTTTCATAGGTCAGGAATGATTTTCTACCGGCGTGGGCGTAAAAATCCTACACCAAAAAATAAAAAAGTTGAAGATTATGATTTAGAGGAACGTGTTAATTCTGCTGTGTTCCCATCTCTTCAAGGTGGTCCACACAATCATGCTATTGGGGCTGTTGCTGTGGCCTTAAAGCAGGTTAGATTTTGCAGTAGCTTGTGGAATTGGAGAGAATTTACACTTAGTCAAACAATGGAATGAAATATAACAAAGCAAGTGCAATAACATATTTCTTAAGTACAGTTTTGTGTGTAGTTAATCATGTAATTTGTTAAACTATCATTATTTTCATTTTAGGCAACTACACCTTCCTTCAAAGAATATCAACTCCAAATTTTGGCCAATGCTAAAGCCATGGCAAAGGCCCTTCTTGATCGTGGTTATTCTTTGGTTTCTGGAGGAACAGATAATCACCTTGTATTGTTAGATCTTAGACCAAAAAATCTTGATGGTGCTAGAGTTGAAACAGTCTGTAATTTGGTTAACATAACTGTAAATAAAAATTCAGTACCTGGTGATGTATCTGCCCTTACACCAAGTGGCCTTCGATTAGGTGAGTCTGCATTTTGTTTTTGAATTATTGATATTTGTGTTTGTTAAATCACAATTATGCTATGAGAATAGATAATGAAGCCAAGGATACGAATCAACTGTATTCTATACGATAAAGAAAAATATTATTGGATTGTCAGGTGTATTTTTAAATTGTTTGTGGTGAAGTTCCTTTGTAGTTTTCATTTAAAGTATTTTAACATAAGAAGGATATTAGGAAAGATAGTGATGTGTATTACAAGTTAATACTTGCAGAGTAAAATTATATTTTTTAAAAAATTTAAAAGATAAAAACTTTGAGCATGATTTTGTTAATTAAAATTGAGTTTCAGTGTGTTTCTTGAAGTTAAACGATTAACTAAAAAGTTTAAATCTCTGTATTTTAATGTATGTTTTTATTATGAAGGAGCTCCAGCGCTTACTTCACGACAGTTCAAGGAAAAGGATTTTGAAAGTGTTGTGGAGTTCATTGATAAGGCAGTGAATGTTGCAGCTGATGTAAAATCTAAATCAGGTATTTTCATTTAATACCAAATATTATACTTCTATTTTTAGCATACTTATTTATGTTCTTATTTATATTACTGCCATTGTGAATGTAATATTCAGACCTATCCTATTTTACAAAAATATGAAGTAGTTATGAATGCTAAAATTTATTATAAAAGGCATGGTATATTGGAAAAGTTGTCAAATTAGTGGTGATTTGTGTGCCACAACATGAAAACTAACCCAAACATTTTTTTATTTAAAAAAAAAAAGTATTATCGTTATCATTTAATATCCTCAGAATAGATGCAAGAGAACGTGAAGTAGCCTTTCTGCAGATTTGCTTTATGCATTTTCACCATCTCTTTTTCCTTGTCAAGAAATGATCTTTATTGTTGTTCGATCTTGAGCATTATAATTGAACTCTGCACACTACATAGAGGAAATTGGAGTTGTAGACCTTAAGAGGCTTGTGACAAATTCAACCCTGTCTTTTATTAGTCAATGCTGCTGTATCTACTCCTATGAACATGTAAAAAGAATTGTGACTTTCAATCTCTGAAGTGCTGCAGCTCAAAGTGGCAACTAAATTGTTAAATATGAAAGATGCAGTTCATTAATCAAGGCAAATAATCTAAAGAATATTTCAAAGCTAAACCCAAGAAAGGATAAAATGTTTTTTGAAACAAAATCTTGAGCAACATTACTGAACAAAATTATTGTAATGGGGATAAATAGCTAAGGCATCTATGTAACTGTGGATTACTGCTTTCTTAACAAGGTATTACTTTATTTTAACTTCAATATGTTTCAATAAATGCTTAGTGTATCTCAATATTAATATTAAAAGGAATAAATTGATAATAATTGATAAACTGCTAATTCTTTAAAAATTCATATTGAAGATTAAAGAGTTTTAAAAAAAATTGTTACTTTTTGTAACAATGTTCCCAAGCCATATTAGGCATTATTGAACTTCAAGTAATTCTCCTTGAATGTAGCCAGTCATAAGTCACATAGAACGTTCTTGTTTTTTGTTACGTCATTGCCTTTCATCCCTTTTAGACAGAGACTACGTACTGTTAGCATCCAAGGTTCCCAGATGGTCACCCATCCAGGAACTCCAAGCAACCTCCGGCTACTAATGCTAAAATATATTAATGAAAGATCTTGTTGACTCAAATAAATTCATACTATAATATTAATTTTTTTATTTTCTCGCAGATTTCTACAAGAGAGGTTTCAAGCTTTGTCAGTCTACTACAAATATATCACAATATAGTAAAAAACCCTAGAAATAAATAATACAAGTACTTAGTCTAGTGTTAAATTTACATAGAATAAAATTATACGATGTTCTTTGCAAATTAATCATAATATTTATCTAATCTATCAAATACTTAATTTTACAACAGCATGCCATGATAAGGTTGTCTTGTAGTTTAATTTTGAAGTGATTTCAATAATACAGTTTATTGTACATTATTATTGCATTGTAAAAGGGACTTTTTGTTGCTGCGTTAGAGTTGAACAACCTGTGGTAGTTTTCATGTCTGTGAGTGTTGTATTTATATAGTTCATTATTTTTTGAGATGCTAAGTGTACTATTATTTTTTAATTGAATAATGAACCTATATGCGTACAGTGCTATTGCAGTCCAAATTTTATGTTTGGTGTAATAGTCCCTACAAGATTGGCTTGGTTTTAATTTGAAAATGAATCTTAGTTCTCTTTTCTGCAGAATCATAATTCTGTTCACATTTCTGTTTGTTGTTCAATACCATATTCTATATGTAGATATATTATACCATAATATGTAGTTAACAGAAATTCATTGTTAAAAAATTGTAAGAAATAACGTAGGAGAAAAATGTTGGAACTCACTTTCATGCATAGTGTGCTGATGTGTTTCTTGTACGATACGTTCTCATCTATGGTGATTCCTAGACTGGCACTTAATTCTTTGAATAGCCTTGTTTTTCACTTGGATGTTACAAATATCATTATATTATCCTTGCTATGATGATTAAATAACATACCTTTTGTTTTATCAGTATTCATCTCTAGATCGTTTTGACTTAGTAAGTGTATATTTGTGTCAGTGAACGGTTAATGTTTTCATCCAGGTTTTCTAAGTCTTTACCACAACAAATAATTGAGGTATCATCTGCATAAGATTTATAATGTGCTAGTACTGGAAAGTTATTAACATGCAGTAAAAATAGTAAGGGACCTAGTACTGTTCCTTAAGTAACTCCTGAAATTACTGTTACAAAATTTGATTGAATTTTATTAATACAAATTTCTGTTTCCCAGTATATTTCAATACATTGAAATATTTGTTAAATATGATTTCATGAGATTGTTGATCATTTTCAAGGTTTCCTAATATTTCATAAAGTTTCATAAATATTTCATAAAGTTAGCTGCAGGGGTGATAGTTGACATGCCTTTCCGAAGCCCATGTTGTGTGATACTTGTGAACTACTAGTAAAAACATCAATTTTAATCATAAAGGTCAACACTATTCCATTGTTTAATCAGGCTACACAAATATTTCTACCATTTCTACCACGCTACTTATATCCCTTATGCATCAAACAATTATTTTGCCTTATTTTGGTAATATGTTCTGGCTGCTGTTAATTTAATTTTAGGAAATACAAATTTTTCTTTCTTTAATTATTTAGAACAGTTAGACTTCCATTTCAACAAGAAATAGGATTTTCCTACAAAGGATAAATTGGTTATATTATGATGTTGGTCACATTCACTTTTAACCTGTAGACCTACTTAAGTGTACATGTGTGTACATTAGAGAGGTTGCAAGGAACCGACTTTGGAAATTTCTTTAATGGGAACCCCTAAAAAGTTGCCAATAGATATAAAAGTAAGATTTTCAAGGTTTCAGCTTGATCAGATAATGTTAAGACCTGATTCATTAGCATTATTTCTGAAATGCGGTGGCCACATGAAAAGTACAAGAGATTTTTTTTTAAAAATTGTTCTAAAAACAGCAGATCCCCCTCAAATGAGTTGTATTGAACATGTGTAATGTCTAAATACATTGCTTTTATTTTTTCTACTGCTCACAATTTTTGCACTTCAGAAAAAAGAGCTTTGGCTTGATTAAATTCCTTGTCATTTTCCATTTGAGGAACTCGTATCAACTGCTCTATGTACATTATTACAACTTATCATAACTGCCAGTCTCTCTACATTTTATTTATTCAATGTATATGATAGTAATTTTCCTTCCCAATGTGGGACAGCATCTTGTAAATCTAAATTTGGATCATCTCTGCTCTTTCCTTTTGAAATTTCTGTGCTCAGACTTGTATTCTAGACTTTCCTACTTCTGGGGATCTTGCTCTAAGGCAAATGTCTGAAATATTGTTATTCCAACAGATTTATCACCCCTTGCTTGTCCTCCGCTCACCTCATGGGGGATGATTTACTGCATCCATGAAACCTTCCTATATATACCTTCCTAATATTGTACCTTCCTATCAGCATGATAATCAAACATGCTGCCTGGATGAAAACTGAAGCTCAATCAGTTCTGTGTAGGAATAAAAAAAGAAGACATTTCTATGATGTTTATATTAATTATGGTTTTAATATAATGAAAAATTGATTAATATGTTAATATTTTCACCTCCTCCATTTATCCCAATTCTTCCACCCACCTGGTTTCAAAAGTATCTTATTTGAACTATTTAATGTTAAATAACACAAAGAAAGTGTTGAAAATATTTTTGTAAGTACCCAGTAATGTGAATTTCCATGAAAATCGAATATATCTTTGTATCTGCATGTTTGTCAAACAAGTTGCTAGGATGAAAATTGAGGACGGAAACATTCTCTGGAAAAAATAACCCTTTCCTAGAACAAACAGTTTTCATTTTATTGCAAAATATACCCTTGTGTGTGTGTGTGTGTGGGGGGGGGGATTGCCCTTTTTTAAGTTTAGGGCTGATCAGAAATTGGAATTTGTGGCATAACAGTACAAAATTTATAATACATTTCAATTCAAGCGATGAAACTGATGCAAGAGAGTGATGGATTCTCTTCTCTTACTGTTAATTACAAGTATCACTTCTAGATTGTGTTCAGCAAGCTGTAGTCCTTCAGAATTCAGCAATCGACTGTCAATGGCAATTGCTTCATTGCAGATACATACTATATATCTCCTCTATAAATTTTGCGACGACATGAATATTAGAGATTTTTCCTTAATGAAATCTGTTCTTAAAAATTAGATCTTTAAATAAAGTAATGTAATATTTTTGAAAATATGAGTCTGTTCCATTTTTTTAAAAGTAAATGTAATTTATAATTTTTTCTCAAAATGGCTCTCTCTCCATATGCATACATACCATACTATGTACAGTATTCTTAAAGACTATTTTTGTTAAAATAATTAATTATTTCAGTGTTTTACAAAAGTATTTAATTTGTTTTTGAGCAAAGTGCTTACTAGTTTTAGGAAAACAGTGTTCTATGGTTTTTCAGAGATCAAGTAAAGTGATAAGTTGCCTGTATTTATATATGATATATGTATATTGTCTGATTTTGCTTTAGATATTCCCTAGATCATTTGTTAATTCATTTTCCTCTATTTTGAATTTGTAAATGGACTGGTTCATTGAATTTCTTTTCTATTTTCAGGAAAGAAACTGAAAGACTTCAAAGAGTTTTTGAACACAGATTCTGAAACTAAAGTCAAACTGACAAAATTGAAGCAAGATGTCAATGAATTTGCAAAGAAGTTTCCAATGCCTGGTTTTGATGACCATTGAGTTTGAAATAGGAAAATGGAATCAATTAAGAAGTGATAATAATAATTAAATTTGAATGTACAATAGAAATTGTTGAAGTAAGTTTTTCTGTTGAAGAAAGAATAATTGTGACTGAGAATTCTCTTTTGCTAACCAAATTGTGAAAATGTTTTTCTACTGATTAATACTCAAGACCTTACACTCGAAGACTTCTGAAAATATTTTACATTTAATTATTAAGTTATTGCTGTAATGAAGTCTTCTGTAAGATCATAGCCCACATTGACGAGTTATAATTTAATTAATTTGAATTTAAATTTTGATTTTTTTAAAATTATCTTTTCATTTTCATTCTTAGATTACTTTTCTTATTTCTGAAGGAAATTCATTATTTTTATATTAGGAAATACAAACTGAACAAAATTCTCTCCATAAATTATATTTAGACTATACCCTAATATTGTCTTTATTTTCATATTTCCTTTTTTTTTTAAGACAAGGCAAAGGCAAACTACTTTTCTTGAGAAAGCAAATCACAGAATGAATGTAGGAAGAATATTATTCCTTATTCTGCTATATGTCATCCAAATAGTAAATATTATTTTTAATGTTAAGTAAGTACGGAAGACATGTTTTGAATCTGTTAATATACATTGTAGGAAAATACAAGTTATATTTCTTGCTTGAAAATTAATATTTTCTATTTACATAGTGCCAAACAGAATGTATTGATCTGATATGGAATTAAGACATTGTTATAATTTTTACACTGAAGAGCAGCGTGATTATTTTTCTTGTATGTTTGTTACTTAGTGAAGAATTATGCATGGTAAATTTTATTATGAAATATGTTACATATATTTCTATTAAAATATATTTCTTTAAAAGTGTTGACTTCTCATGAATGTTGTTGCTAGAAAACATACAAACAAAAAATTAGAAATATCCAAAAACCGACTGATTTATTGTCTTAAGTTTTGATTTCTACAATATTGCAGCATTGTTCAAAATCCACTTTGCATTTTAATTATTTTATTACATTAAAAATAATAGTGTCAATGTAAAACAATGTTGGTTCCTGTAAATGGAACTCTGAAGTAGTAAAATGTGTATGTGTACATGAATATCTTTTTTAATTAGTTTTCATTTTATGTATTTGATTGGCGGTTGGTATAAATATTTTGTGAAAGGAAAGATTATGAACCTCTGAACTGAAACACTATTTCTGTATATTCCATTAATGATATCACTATTCCCAGTGACGAATGTTGCAAAGTCTCTAGAGTAGTGAACTGGAAAATAACTATCTAGCTTACTCTATAATAGAAGTTTATACATGCTCAAGTATGAATATAATTCTGCCAGCACACCTTTTTAGATTTCTTAATTTTGTTATCAAGAACAAGAAGCAAAAAGGGTGTTACTGATATACATCAATTTACACTTTGTGCTTTCTCATTTAGTTAGAAGAAAGTTAGTCAGAGAAAGTTAGGTAATGCTGCAGAAAGGTATATGCCGAAGTTTTGATGGAAACTCACGTTTTCAGGGGCCTCTGGTACTGGAAGAAGTTTTATTTTCCAAACATTTTTGTCTGACCATCCAACCATATACAAAGAATGCTAGCACCCTAACTGTTCAGGATTGTCTCCAAAATTGATATTCCCAGCAAGATATTTTCTGCACCTTGAATTTGCAATGTGTATTCTAATTTTGGGGAATTCTGTACATGAAGTCCGAGTGACATTTTCAAAATTTTTTCAAAAATGGCTCCATATTTTTCTTTTACATTTTTGCATTCCTTTACATTTCCTTAACATTTAATCCAATTTTCAGTGAATTCTCTGAATTTTTCAAAATTTGTAAAACAGGATTCCCTCCTACAACTACATTATTGAAGAGAGAGATTTGTTTGTAAATGATACGAGTTCTTCAAAATTAGATCTTTAGTTAAAGTTATTTATAAGTTTTTTCTAAAATATTAGTATTTTTCGTGTAATTTTGAGTTTGCTTTTACGAGAAATGGCTAAATAGTGTAGATAGAAGGTGCAGTGTTACACTATATATGACGGACGGACGGACCGTCGGACGGACCGTCGGACGGACCGTCGGACGGACCGTCGGACGGACCGTCGGACGGACCGTCAGACGGACGGACAGAGAGACGTGTTGCCGTCAATCGATTTTTCGGTATGAAGAACAAAACATGGATTCTGAATACACCACGTGTTGGAGGATTTTTTTTCTATATTCAGCAACTGGATTTATCCACTTTTCCTTACCAGGGCCCGACAATAGAGTTTTTGTGTCGAAAATTCGCCAGTTTCCGGCGCATGATTACACTACTTTCTGTTCTGTAAGTGCGAGAAAGTAAAAAATAGAAATTAAGAGTCCTGGAAAACCTACTCCAAGTCTACAAGTTTTTATCCTGAACGTAAAATCAGAAACTAGAGATGCTGCGACAGCAAGTACGTTCTGTCGTTATTTCTAACTTTTGCAATTTTCAAAAATGTATGCTATCAATGGAATGTTACATTCTATCCATGGAAAGCATTAAACGAAAAAAATGGAACTGTTTTTAAGGAAAAAAAGTATTATTTTATACATAGTATTAATATCAATCAGAAATTAAACGAAAAATACTCGTTAAAAATTATTCATGCCTTTTTTTAGAGATATATTTTTAGGACAGTAAATAAGTAAACAATCTGTCATAAATATTGTACTTTTGTTTTGCAATTTTTGAAAATACAGAGTTGGCCGAAAAAGGAACCAGTGCTACTTTTTTCACCGTTCTTTGATACATAAAAGGACATTTGAAGAGAAAAAATTGAAAGCTTTTTGAGAAAATAATTGTTCAAAATTGCATACATTTCATGCCAAATTACGCGAAAACTATTCACATTTTCGGAAAATTGTACAAGAACAGATTTCTCTAAGAAAAAAATCCCTATGTTAAATTTGTTGCTTAAGGAAGACGCCGAAAAATTTTTGAACTTGTGCAATTTTCGAAAAATCGGAATTTTTATCGAAAGTGAGACACGCACCATCTTTTAAGAGTTCTTTGAGCTAAAGACAACGTTTAATACAAATATTTGGAGCCATTTTTGAGAAAATTTTGAAAATGTTAGGGTTTGTGTAAAGTGTCCTCAAAAATAAAAATATCCATTTCTAACTCGCAGGACCCTGTGTTCGGGGAATATCAATTTTGGAGAAATTCGTCTGAACGATTTAGGCGCCCATAAACGGACGGACGAGCAGACAGACAGACCGACAGACAGCACATGTTGTACGTTTGTTCATATTTGGCCCTTTAGTTTAGAACAGACCTTTTAAACTATTGTGGTATCTACATAATAATACGATGAAATATGCGTTTACTATTACGTTTTTATTAATTGTTTACAACTAACAATTATATCATATTAATCAACCCATAATGCTTTCAAATCATTCAATTTGCGCGAAGGCACCATGGTATGGGAGCACGCCATGTTATGTTTATATAAGATAGGGGCGCGCCATATGGAATCCATGTGCCATGTGCAATCCATCGCCGACATACAAATCGTCTTGCGGGTTTTCCCTCTTCACGTATCTCCCCCAGAGGTTCACCACCCCAGCTAGGTCTCTAAGCACTCGATCCCGACATTTGTGGTGGTGTGCTGCATGTAAGTGTGTGTGTGTGTGTGTGTGTGTTTGAAGGGAGAGGAAGGGACAAGGATGAAGACGGAAATATCATGTGGAGTGCGAGGCCCTTTTCTTAATGTATTGCTTTAGCATTCACTTTCTATTGATCAGTGAAATCACAGAAAACTACCTATCAGAGCTGCCGATCGTTAGAATTCTCCTCCAGGCACTGGCAGAATGATATCTAGCGAGTTTTGAAAAATCGCCTCCGTCGGAACTCGAATCCTAGTACTTCCTTGTGAAAGATACTGTTGTGGCAACGGATGCTGTTACAGTCAACTCTACCGTTGGGGCTCTTTGCCCTCGTCATGGTCATTTTGACATATCAATCGTACGGATTTATATACATTCAAATTAATTTTAAAAAAAAGAAACAACAATAACAACAAATGAAGTAATGAAATCACTACAGAACGAAAAATAATATTGAGAGAGAAAATAACGGCCACAGATAGGAATACACACACACACACTCCAACAAACAAAAATCTTTCTTTGAAACACGTATCCTCAATTCATTACATCACAAAATAGAATGAGCGCGGAGCAAAACCGGGAACTGCGAAAGGAAAGATTTGCTGCACGATGCTCATTTGTTTCCAATTTGTCAGCAACTCAGCGACAAATCGCGATACGTTTACGCGTTCTAATTGTCAAGATGCATGGAAAACTCAAAGAGGTCATAATGTCATGCAGTCACGTACTTTAATCTTTGCGGTCCGAATTAATTTACGGCTGTACTGATCGAATCTATATGACCCGAAAGTTGTGTTATATAAGTTACTAGTGATGATTAAAAAATATTTGTTGAATCTACATATTTTTAAAACTGTATGTTATTAAACAATAATATATAATGTTGATATTAATTTCAGTTTTTATTAAGGATTCCCAGGGATTTTCCTTTCATCAACCCATTTTAAAAGAATTGATTCCTCCATTGACCTCCTAACATTATTGTCTATAATATGTAGCATACATAATCATAACACAAAGAATTGACCAGAAATGTCTCATAGGTAACCATTTTGTGGACACATATTTTGGTAAATTTCTATATTTTCAGTAATCGAAGACACTTCTGCTTTTGCGGAGCGTTTGTGACTGACCTTAATATATCTTCAGTGCGTATTGGTGGGAGTATTTTCTTCCGCAATTGAGAATAGTTGTGAATACATTGTTATAATTTGTTGAGTATTGGAAACATCCTAAGCAGAGGCGTAGAGCCATTTCTTGGATGTCCCAGTGTGGAAAGTCGAAATGGGGGCCCTGTCTGCAATACACGTGAAATAAAGAGTTTTAAATCTAATTGATATAAGAATGATGAAATAGAGAAAATAAGCATGGAGTGTTTGTTTGTTTAGAGGTAGTTTGGTTTTAGAGTTGGGTTAGAGTGGAGGTTGTTTTGTTGCCCTTAATGAGGGCACCTTTCTTGCGGGGACCGGTGCTATGCATCGGTTGCACCAGCCTAGCTACGCTCTTTATCCTGCCAATGAAAGATGGATAGGAAAGAAGAGGGGCGCATTCAAAAATTATTATTATGTTTTGTTGGTCTATATCGGAAAATAATTAAGTGTCAAGTTAAATATTTTTTGTAATCAATGGAATCTTAATAATACCTACCTATCAATCGCCGTTTCACATTCGGCTGTAGATCGCCAATCGACCCCGTGATAATCATTGACTCCCTTCAAAATGTTTTCGACCCAAGGGGGGTCGATACTGACCCCGTTGGGAACACCTGGTTTAGATTATCTATCAGTCATTAGTTACTGTTTCGTAGGATTTTGTCCACACCATTTTTAGACAGTTATTATTAAAATAAGTAAAACACATCCATTAAAGGCACTTAAAACTCACCGGCCGCATCTTTCTATAAACAGTGCATAGAAAAGTTGTTTTCCCGCGATTGCAAATGTCTGAACAATAGTTACAACTATGCAGGAAAAATATTTTAATAAATGGTTTTTCATGTCAAATAAAAATGTTGTTTTAAAGAACAAATGTTGGGACTTTTTTCCAAAACGATACTTTTAGGACATGCCTCGTATATTGTGTGTATTGTCAAATGTTCGTTCTCGTCTGAGATACAGCATGTTTTGGAGAAACATTTTATGGCTCCCAGATTTTTAGATTACAGAAAATAATTTTACCAATAATAAGCAACTCTCACCTCCAAGGTTCTTGTAAGCCTCACGTTATTGAGCTGGGAATTCTACCGTCGCTTTCCCTCTTGATTTAAGAGTCAGTGGCTTTTGTCAAAAATGACTTACTCAAGAGAACATATTTTCAGCGAAAACAGGTATCTACGAGTATAACCTTCTATTTAGTAATCATAAGGTGATGATGAACCACTCACGATAAGAAATTTACATACAATGCATGTAAATTATTTTACAACAAATTACCCGATGACATTAAACGATGAAAATCAATACAGAAGTTTACGGGCCAAGTACAATATTTTCTGCTGCATCTTTTATTTATCTTATATAACTATTTTTCAAGTATTGATAATCTTGCGGTTTTTAAAATTTGTTTTTATTTATTTATTTATGTTAAACTTTTACTCATCTTTCAACTATTTGTTGATATAATGACGGGAAGGGATTCTGGAACTCATGAATACGTGCGCAGATAATCTTTTCCCCCCTACGTCACATACAGTTTTTACTGCTTTTTTGACTGAATAAATCTAAATCTAAATCTTTATACAATTAGATCACTCTTTTTATACAATTAGAAACTAAACATCAAAGAGACAATAAAATTGATATAAACAATGATACTGAATGTGTTAGTCACCAGCGCCGTAGTGTGGCACCTCTGGCGGGCATTTGCATATTAAAAAGTGTATTTGTGCTTTGCAAATAATTCACAATAAAAATAAATTTTAAACTTATTGCAGTCTCGCATATTTCAGGCTCGTCTATTTTCGGGCGTAGTAAAGTATTGAAAAGTATTTGTTAAAATCCTTTTTTAAAATTATCGTTTCAATACAAAATTCAATTCAGTTAATTTTTAATCTGATAACTAGTTGTATCGATTCTTGTAATACCGGAAAGATAGTAGAATAATACACAGTGTTTCAC